GAATGTCTACATCTCTACAATCCAAGATGGCGGTCAAATGTGAATAACGAACAACGGATATAGCGAACTAAATTTCTTGGTCCCTTGGAGTTCGTTACATCCGTGTTCTACTGTAGTTGCAAGTGAGTAACAATAGATGTGTACGACACTTCGTGGACATTGATCAAGTAGGGACACGGCTAGTTCCTGGTTGAAGCGGGGCGCCCAGGGACACATACCACGTCAAGCTGTACACTCCCATCACAGTCACAACCTGGCAGTGACGACATCTCAAAGACACCACATCAACGTCCCGTCTACACAACCGCGTCTGCGACAGCAACTACGTCGTCTTTCTCTTTTTCTCCTCCACATATCCCACTTCCAGTGTCTGTGACGCATGCAAATTGAGAGGAGCAGTATCCTCGTGTAGAGTGCAGCATATGAGACATCCCCAGACACCGTCCGACACCGCCCGACACCGTCCGACACCTTCAGACACCAGGATGACTAGTCACGCTGGCGAAGCATGTGTCTCAAACTGTGAATGTTACCAAGACTCGACTGGCGTGAAGAATTTCTATGCTTAGGAATATACACATGGGAACATCTACGTATAGGAATACCTACGAATAGGAATATCTACGTATATCTATCTACAGATAGCAATCAGTGCACAGGAATCTACGTATAGGAATATGCGTATAGGATTCTACGTATAGGAATATATACGTATCGAAATATCTACGTGTAACAATCTACCAAAGTGTAACAATATACGGGTAGGAAATATATCTACGTGTAACAATCTACCAAAGTATAACAATATACGGGTAGGAAATATATCTACGAATAGGAATTCACGTGCAGGAAGTTTTTAAGGTTTAGAATTAACAGAACCTATTCTCTTTTAATCAACAGAGTCGGCCCAAAGTTTAGTTGCAGGTCTGAATGTCGATGCACGGAAAAGAACGTCACCGGAAAATATAATAATTGACAATAAGACTTGAAACAGGAAGATGATATCTGGTCATGCCATGTTGGAAATACGTCCTTCATTCAGGGTCGTCAGCTTACGGAAACATGCCGGATTCATCCACAGGCATCTTGTTTTACGCCGCACCCTGTAACAGTACAGCTGTGTGAATGTAAAGATAAATAGCCGAGTCCGAACTATGGGAGTCCTGTGATTGATACTATGGGCAAAATCCCTCTCTGTTTTGATATGACGATTCAAACTCAGATGCATGAACAGCTTTCACTTTTTACGTCTTTAGAGCTTTTCCTTGACGCCGCCATCAGGTGTATGACTTCCACGTACAGTCCTGTACAAACCAACATCCCTGCACAACATACAGCATGAGATGAAACCCTGCCCTGGGGCCCTGCACACCGCCAGTTGTAGTTACTGCGGGTGACGTTTCTCAAATGTCTGTGAACAGTTTCCTAACTCCCCTATAACAACACCACACACATCATACACTCACACACCACACACTAACACACACATCACACTTACACACCATACACTCACACACACTCAAACACACCCCACACTCACACACCCCACACTGACATACCACACACTCACACATCACACATTCTCACACACACCATACACTCACACACACCACACACGATACACTATCACACACCATACACTCACACCACACACACCACACTCACTCACTCACCACACACACTCACACACACACCATATACTGACACACCACCCACCCACACACCATATACTCACACACTGACACACATCCCACACTCACACACCACACACTCACACACCACACACCACACTCACACACACCAAACACTCACACACCACACTCACTCACCACACACACACACACACCACACACACACCATATACTCACACACTGACACACCATACACTCACACACCCAACACTCACACCACACAAACCACACACTCACCTCACACCCACATACCACACACTCACTACACAAAACACACACTCACCACACACAACACAGACTCACACACCACACACACCACACACTCATACCTACATACTTCGAAACAGTTGGAGGGATGCAAAGTAGAGGGGAGGTTAATGCTGATCAGACACACCACCCCACGTGGATATTGTTGGAAGGAAGCTAAAACCAGTAGTATGAGACAACCAACACATGGCTCAATCCATTAAATAACATAATATATATAACGGTGATATCTGATATCAACACGTGTGTATATATAACGGTGATATCTGATATCAACAAGTTTAGATATAATGGTCATATCTGATATCAACACGTGTAGATATAACGGTCATATCTGATATCAACACGTGTAGATATAACGGTCATATCTGATATCAACACGTGTGTATATATAACGGTGATATCTGATATCAACACGTGTGTATATATAACGGTGATATCTGATATCAACAAGTTTAGATATAACGGTCATATCTGATATCAACACGTGTATATATATCGGTCATATCTGATGTCACAAATGTGCATATAACGGTCATATCTGATATCAACACATGTATATATAACGGTCATATCTGATATCAACAAGTTTAGATATAACGTTTATATCTGATATCAACACGTGTATATATATCGGTCATATCTGATGTCACAAATGTGCATATAACGGTCATATCTGATATCAACACATGTATATATAACGGTGATATCTGATATCAACACGTGTGTATACATAATGGTGATATCTGATATCAACACGTGTATATATAACGGTCATATCTGATATCAACACGTGTATATATAACGGTCATATCTGATGTCACAACTGTGCATATAACGGTCATATCTGATATCAACACATGTATATATAAGGGTCATATCTGATATCAACACGTGTGTATACATAATGGTGATATCTGATATCAACACGTGTATATATAACGGTGATATCTGATATCAACACGATGCTTCCATTCTCGTCTTATTGGACCTTTCGGCCGCTTTGACACGATTGACCACAGTGTTCTTCTCTCCACTCTTGAAGGAAGATTCAATGTCAAAGGCGTCGTGTTAAAGTGGTTCACGTCCTACATCTCAGACAGGAAACAATCAGTGGTTATTCAAGGTCAAATGTCTCTGCCTAGTGACTTAGTGTTTGGGGTACCACAAGGCTCAGTTCTGGGCCCTTTGCTTGTTACTGCCTACACAACCCCTCTTGGTGATATTGTCAGGTCCTTTAACCTCAGTATGCATCTTTATGCGGATGACACACAGGTTTACGTGTCCTTCAAGCCACTCGATTCTGCCTCAACATCCTTCACATTCACAGCAGTCCAGGAATGTGTTGACTGTATCAAAATGTGGATGTCAACGCACTGGTTGAAATTAAATGACGACAAAACCGAGCTCATCGTTTTCAGACCCCAGCGGCTCCGGGCAAAACTTGATCTTCCCACTTTCTCCATTGGGCACTGTGAAATCACACCAAGTTCTCAAGTCCGGAATCTTGGAGTAGTATTTGACCCATCTCTTTGCATGGAACCACATGTCAACAGTGTTTGTCGCAGCGCTTATTTCCACATTCGAAATATCGGCCTGATCCGCAGGTACCTTGACGAGAAAACAACGAGTGCTCTGGTGCAGGCGTATGTAACATCACACATTGATTACTGCAACTCTGGTGCAGGCGTATGTAACATCACGCATTGATTACTGCAACTCGTTGCTCAGTGGTATTCCAAATCATGTGCTACACAAACTACAGAGAGTCCAGAATTCAGCGGCAAGATTGATCAGCAGAACAAAGAAAATTGACCACATTACCCCTGTCATGAAAAATCTCCGTTGGCTTCCAATCAAATTCAGAATCCAATACAAAGTATTGCTTCTTGTTTTTAAATGCATCCATGGACTGGCTCCAGGATATCTTCCACAACCTGTAAAACCCTATGTGCCAACCCGATCTCTTCGCTCCAGTGACCAATCTCTTCTGCAAGTTCAATGTACAAGAACAAAGTCTTTTGGTGACTGAGCATTCACTTCAAATGGTCCAAAACTCTGGAAAAATCTACCTCAAGAACTTCGATCACTGACTGAACTTGCATCTTACAAAAGCCAGTTAAAGACCCATCTTTTTACCAAAGCTTACCTTTAGCTCCAGCGTGGACTCAGAGCGCCTTTGGGCGATTACATCGGATTCTGGCGCTATAGAAGTATTTGTATGTATGTATGTATGGATGTATGGATGTATGGATGTATGTATGTATGTAAGTATGTATGTATGTATGTACGTATAACGGTGATATCTGATATCAACACGTGTTTATAATGGTCATATCTGATATCAACACGTGTATACATAACGGTAATATCTGATATCAACACGTGTATACATAACGGTAATATCTGATATCAGCACGTGTATACATAACGGTCATATCTGATATCAGCACGTGTATACATAACGGTCATACCTGATATAAACACGTGTTATAATGATCATATCCGATATTAACACGGTCATATCTGGTACGCTATCTGATATCTACATGTACACAATAGTAACAGGATTATGTGTACCCGATTCAGTAGAGTATCGTTACAGTGTCATCATGTTGTGGTGTTTGGAAGAGAATGTTACAGATCGGGGATGCTTAAACATCAACTATATAGTACCCTGGGCCCCGTTTCACAAAGCCTACACTGGTCTTCAGAGACGTCAACGTGGATTGTGTGATCACTCAGTCTAGCCTACGTTCACTGGTCATCGTCACTCACTCTATCGCCCACTGGGTTATCCAGACATGCTTACTGACAGGCCACGGCCGCCGAGATAGAATGGCGGGTGGTTAAGCAACTCAACTACACCTCTTCAATATGCGCGTGTACTGGTGTGGATATAAACGAGTGTATGGCTATGTAGGTAGTGTTCAGACCTACCCTCTCACACAGCAGGACAGCATTGTTATCATGTACTGCCCCTGCAACGACGGGGGTGGAGAGGGGGTGGGGAGTAGATTACAGATTACATAAACCACCTACCTGTTTCCTTCTTTTTGAAGCCGAATAGTTGCAGGAATCCCTTAAACGGCATGTTGTGTCGATGCTGGTCGGTCGTGTAACTGCCTGGTCTGCTGTGGTTGTTCGTTGTCCCGTATTTCACTTCCGTGTTGCGGGCCCTCTGTCAACCGCGGTGTCATAAGCTTTCTTCCTCATACACTTCTCCGTTGTAGTGCCAAACGCCTCGTTGTAGCGCTACGTCAGCGTTATGCGTTGTTATCCAACCCTTCCCACTGCATGGGAACCCAGGACTGCGATATAAACATAGATTGTAATGCAGCCCGTCCATGGTGTTGTGTGTTTCTACTGTCATGTACACAATGTACAACTATCTATGTACTGGGATACATTCATGTACAGTCGTGTTGTACAGTGGGTGTGTCCATGTAGTTTTACGCTGTTGTCAACAGTATTCGCCTGCATACAGCGATCTGTACATACACTGATTCAGTACCAGGCAAACGCGTGGTTGAAGTCATGAGCAACTATTCACGCCACGGGTGGAAACAAAATCAGCCACGCTATCGAGGTCATTCAGGTCACTTGTCTGCTCCACATGAGGTAATTGGGACGAATATGATGTGGAACCCTCTCAGTAAACCTGTGAATGAGCATATAAATAATCGAATCTAGACCAGACAATCCAGGGATAATGATTGTCCCGTCCAGATCAATAGCATCTTTATCAACGTGAAGGAATCTTTTAGATAAGGATTTGGGGATGTCTGGCTTTTACACAAGCTGAGTTTTTAACATGTCACGTCAGACATTTTATTTACAGAATTGTTACCGCGATTTATCCGAAAGTCCCAAAATAGCGTATTATCACTATTTGAAATATTCTTTTCATCTGAGAACTATTTGAGTAGTTTTCTGTAGAGAAATTCAGCACCGCATTGTCTCGTTTTCGGCTAAGCTTACACAAATTAGAGACTGAACGTGGTCGACTTTCTAAAGTTCTTCGCGAACGTAGAAAACGAAAACTCTGCAACTTACATAATATCGAAAGCGATTTCCACACTTTGTTTATTTGTGTAGTTTAATGCCATCTTAGCCAAAGATACATACAACTTATACATGCCTCCAAATGTTTCGAAAAGTGTGTGTGTGTGTGTGAGAGAGAGAGAGAGAGAGAGTGTGTGTGTGTGTGAGTGTGTGTGTGAGAGAGTGAGAGTGTGTGTGTGTGTGTGTGAGAGAGAGAGTGTGTGTGTCAGAGAGAGAGAGAGTGTGTGTGTGTGTGTGTGTGTGTGTGTGTGTGTGTGTGTGTGTGTGTGTGAGAGAGAGAGAGAGTGTGTGAGTGAGTTTAGTTTTACGCCACACTCAGCAATGTCCCAGCTATATGGCGGCGGTCTGTAAATAATCGAGTCTGGACCCGACAATCCATGCAGTGATCAACAGCATGAGCATCGATCTGCGCAATTGGGAACCGATGACATTAGTCAACCAAGCCAGCGAGCCTGACCACCCTATATATATATCCACTCGTGAAGGTCCGGGTCAGTAACCCATGCTTGCCGTAAGAAGCGACTAACGGGATCGGGTGGTATACATATATAAAGAGCAAACATGATAACACCACACCACACAACCCAACACCTCTCTCCCGTGTGTGTGTACAGTTCCCGTGTACGTGTACAGTTCCTATCTCTATGAACAGCTGTCATTACTTGATAAGCAGAAAAAAGTGATGAACCGGCTCCCTCGAATCTTATCTAATCATGAGGAAAATGATACCTTGGTGTTCTTAATGGGGTTAAGTAATTCGGCTGACAATTAACAAGAGCAAACATGATAACGATATATTAGTCCATAATACACGTGCCAAACTAATTTTAAACACCCTCGCCGCGAGAGAGAGAGAGAGAGAGAGAGAGAGAGAGAGAGAGAGAGAGAGAGAGAGAGAGAGAGAGAGAGAGAGAGAGAGAGAGAGAGAGAGAGAGAGAGAGAGAGAGAGAGATGAAAACTAAGCTATAGTTTATTACGAAATATCTGTTTCAGTGCGCCTTACATCAGGCGTGTGAAGCTTTTGAACTCAACAAATTCTTACATCTTTCAGTGTTTCTGTAATAATGGAATGTACATTTTCCTGGGTACTGATTACTTAACTAGCGATTCTGGATCCCTGATGATGTGACAGACAGTACGTATACTCCCTCACTACTTCCTCAAGGTGGCCATATTGGAGTTTGAAGCTATGTTGGACTTGTTATATCCACAAGACCAAAGACTGACAAACTGACAACGTAAGGATGTCATCAATATGGTCTCTGATGTGACGGAGGGGATGACCCACGCCCTGCTACACCATGTTGTAACCAAACGAATCCTGTTCCGTTTCAGAACATCTTGCCAGTCCGTATTTTATAAGTACATTGTTTACGCACGTGTAGAAGTACAATATTGGGTCCAGTGGCACATATTGGAGGAATTTGAAGTGCAGTTTGGAGAAACTTGCATATAATGAATTAAAACTGACAGAGAGATGTGTGTTCCACATTTACTTTGTGTCTATAGTGTTGTCACGATCTAGATTTCGACGACTCGGCCGTGCCCCTGACTGAGATCAGTGGTATAGAATTACGGTGGGTATCCTAATTTCGTGATGTCATAACGAAATTTTTGGCAAGACTTCGGTCTTATGGACTCCACTGTGTAGCACCAGAGACCATATAATAGTCTATTGTATGGTCTCTGGTAGCACAGATTGGTTCAGTTCCCTTTTATTGTGTAAGTCATCAATTCTTAGGGTTGTGTATATTTGGTTACTACACACAGACACAATCTTCAGTGCTTGGATCATCTGTACAGCAATCTTTAGCAATCGTCATGGCAACCTTTTCGAGTGAGTACAAGTTATGCGGACATTGTTGTTTACATACCAGAAAACGGGTACCAGTCAAATTGCCCCAGGTACAAAATACCACAGCAAATTTGGTCAAAATGCCTCAGATTTTTTGTCAATTTGCCCCAGGTTTGGTCAAATCAGTGGTTAAATTGCCCCAGGGGGTAATCAAAATGCCCCAATTTATTTAAAATGATTAAATATATGTCATAAATGCATAGTTTTTGTCAACTTTGATAATATATTCTTCATATAAAAGTTATTATGAAAAAATATTTCTGATAAATGTTCCATTAGTAAACTCATAAGAACAAAAGCAATATTCCTGTACAGACAACACTGTAGCACCAATTATTGTGCATGTTGTTTACATTTGTGAATGCTTTTGTAAATAAAGAAATACAAGAATTAAAGGTCACATGCAACCAAAAAATCAAACATAATTAAAACACAATTATCACTTATTCATGACATATAATATACATTGCTGGTTATGAAAAAACATAAAAACAAAATTATAAGCGTACAATCGCAAATCAAAAGTGCGATATTTTGTACTTCGGTTTACTTCCCTCGAAACGAAGCAGCCGGGATACCGAACCCAGTCAGAGCGGGTGGGTGTGCACTCAAGTGTAACGGCTGGTTCATTTGCAGATGTCCTCACGGCTCATTGTGTGTGTATATATATAGAGATGTTAGGTTTTGTAAATACATGCTCATTATTTGTGTATAACATTTTGCAATCAAAGGACATCATAACATGTCATGTGTACAAGTATCACACCTGCCTGTCTGTGTAATTACATAATGTGACAGAGACCGAACTCGGGCCATAAATCAATGCGTTTTCTTTATGGTGTATAACCTGATAGGTGTTAAGTTCAAATTGCATGTGGTCAGTGATTGAAATTGTGTATTGAATATTGTCATTAGCAGACGGGCAGGCAGACACATAGGTGCCAATAAAACAGACATTGAGTTTTGCCGGTGACAACGACATATCTATATCACAGTTAGAAATTCTGTCGACGCTAAATAATGACATTGCTTTTAAGTATCGAACTGAGAAAGTGACTCGCTAAGAAGAACGTGTGGTGAAATAGACAAATGAAATTATATAAACAGTTTAATAGCTAATCTACTGTAATAACATATAAAAATCTCGCGCCGGTGAAATATCAACAAAACATTAGAAAAATAGCTCACACCAAAGCCTTCACTGAATATTCACCGGACAACCCGCTTTCAAGCTCTGCGAACCTATTTCACTGCACATGTGCTATGAGCGCACTTCAATTCCCCCAAGCGCTGGGGGAAAGTTGGTGAATCGTTTGAAGTACGATTTCGCGCGTTTTTTTTCATCGCATTATTTTTCAACTTTATAAGTTGAATTTGCATTTTTTGATGATTTGTTTTGGTAAGTCCATACTGAAAGGTATCAGAATCTGCAAAGTTGTGTTTTACGTTGCATGTGACCTTTAAGTAAAATGTTTGTATAATCACACTAATACACAAGTATGGCATTGGCATAATATCTATCAAAACAATCTACAGCTTTGTTAATCTATGGCATATATGCATTTATGGCATATATTTAATACGTTTAAATAAATTTGGGCATTTTGACTACCCCCCAGGGGTAGACCAAACCTAAGACCAAAATCTGCGGCATTTTGTAGAAGGGCTGACTGGTACCCATGACAACCTGAACCAGAGAAGGACTCCGACATGTTAATCGTGAACACACTGTAGATTGGGTTGATGGAGAATACATATCAACTGCATCCCAGGTGAAACACATTACATGTAACACATTATCCGCCAAGTCTGACCTCCCATTTAGAGGGTCACGCCTTCCTAAAGACCAGTTGTGGCAGTAGATATCACTGGACGAGTCACAGGAGGGGGTATGTGGGTGTAGGACGCATGTTTTAAGATTATGCCAAATGTTCATTATATTCAAACATCAAACTAGTTTCAATTTCTCAAGTGGATGAAAGAGATTGCAAAAAGTTAGTGAGAATGTAGATTTGTTTAACAGGATGGCGTTACAGTGAAACAGAAGGCATTTACACTTCTGTTGCAGACTCGGCTTCTATGAACCTGGCGGCAGCTCGAGTGTAGTCCGCTCACCCACAGGGATGGCGCTGAATGTCGTGGGCCTCATCGTCATCATCTTGTTCTACCTCCTGATATTGGTGGTGGGTGTGGTCGCGGCATGGAAGATCAAGGTCAAGGGTCAGCAGGAAGGGAGATCACTGGAAGCAACTCTTGTGGCAGGGAGAGACTTGCCCACAGTCGTGGGTGTGTTTACAATGATTGGTATGTTGGTGCGCTGGTGATAGTCAGGTTCGAAGTTGTCTTGTACTGAGGTTGGTTGGTTCAACTTGGTTGGTTCGTTGTTTAACGCTGCACTCAGAAATATTCCATCCATATGTCGGCAGCCTGTAAATAATCAAATCTGGACCAGACAATACAGTGATCAACAGCTTGAGCATTAATCTAAGCAATTCGGATACGAATACATGTGTCAACTAAGTCAGCGAGCCTGACCACCCAACAAGCATCAGTTTCTGAAGACGAATTCTAGCCGGGATCTTTGTACTAACGATTCTAGGGGCGGTGGGGTAGCCTAGTGATTACTGTGATTGCTCGTCACGCCGAAGTCCCGGGTTAATTCCCCACATGGGTACAATGTGTGAAGCATTTCTGATGTCCCCAGTTGTGATATTGCTGGAATATTGCTAGTCTGTCTCACAGTCCCTGAACCACATTAATTTCCCTACTGGCAAGCCCTCTCTGCAGTGCTAAAGCCCTAAATAAAGCAAATCTAGATTTCCTCAGGTTCTGAATCTCTGGTCTCCCTCGGGCTCCTTTTCAATATAAATGGGCTTGTTTGTTACTATCAAAATTATATATATTCAGAGACTAAGCCTTAGTCTAGAATATTGCTAAAGAGTGCATAAAACTTATTTGAGGATACCATGGCAAACTAGGTTTCCACCCTATCATATATGTATATCACCCCATCACCGGAGTGAGTTTCCTACCTGCCTGTGTATCATCTAGGTTTCCACCCTATCATATATGTATATCACCCCATCACCTGAGTGAGTTTCCTACCTGCCTGTGTATCATCTAGGTTTCCACCCTATCATATATGTATATCACCCTATCACCTGAGTGAGTTTCCTACCTGCCTGTGTATCATCTAGGTTTCCACCCTATCATATATGTATATCACCCCATCACCTGAGTGAGTTTCCTACCTGCCTGTGTATTATCTAGGTTTCCACCCTATCATATATGTATATCACCCCATCACCTGAGTGAGTTTCCTACCTGCCTGTGTATCATCTAGGTTTCCACCCTATCATATATGTATATCACCCCATCACCTGAGTGAGTTTCCTACCTGCCTGTGTATCATCTAGGTTTCCACCCTATCATATATGTATATCACCCTATCACCTGAGTGAGTTTCCTACCTGCCTGTGTATCATCTAGGTTTCCACCCTATCATATATGTATATCACCCCATCACCTGAGTGAGTTTCCTACCTGCCTGTGTATCATCTAGGTTTCCACCCTATCATATATGTATATCACCCCATCACCTGAGTGAGTTTCCTACCTGCCTGTGTATCATCTAGGTTTCCACCCTATCATATATGTATATCACCCCATCACCTGAGTGAGTTTCCCACCTGCCTGCCTGTGTATCATCTAGGTTTCCACCCTATCATATATGTATATCACCCCATCACCTGAGTGAGTTTCCTACCTGCCTGTGTATATCATCTAGGTTTCCACCCTATCATATATGTATATCACCCCATCACCTGAGTGAGTTTCCTACCTGCCTGTGTATCATTTAGGTTTCCCCCCTATCATATATGTATATCACCCCATCACCTGAGTGAGTTTCCTACCTGCCTGTGTATCATCCAGGTTTCCACCCTATCATATATGTATATCACCCCATCACCTGAGTGAGTTTCCTACCTGCCTGTGTATCATCTAGGTTTCCACCCTATCATATATGTATATCACCCCATCACCTGAGTGAGTTTCCTACCTGCCTGTGTATCATCTAGGTTTCCACCCTATCATATATGTATATCACCCCATCACCTGAGTGAGTTTCCTCCACCTGCCTGTGTATCATTTAGGTTTCCACCCTATCATATATGTATATCACCCCATCACCTGAGTGAGTTTCCTACCTGCCTGTGTATCATCTAGGTTTCCACCCTATCATATATGTATATCACCCCATCACCTGAGTGAGTTTCCTACCTGCCTGTGTATCATCTAGGTTTCCACCCTATCATATATGTATATCACCCCATCACCTGAGTGAGTTTCCTACCTGCCTGTGTATCATCTAGGTTTCCACCCTATCATATATGTATATCACCCTATCACCTGAGTGAGTTTCCTACCTGCCTGTGTATCATCTAGGTTTCCACCCTATCATATATGTATATCACCCCATCACCTGAGTGAGTTTCCTACCTGCCTGTGTATCATACTGTTCATGGTTTACTTCCCATCTTTCACTCACTCAGATCATGTGCTTCAGATCACGTGCGTCATCATTATGCCCAGAAGATCAGTGTTTCAGACAGTGAGGAACGACTTTATATGTTTCAGCAACAACGGTTGGAGGTGGCTACATCAACGGCACGGCAGAGTCGGTGGCAAGCTATGGGCTGATCTGGACGGTTGCTCCCCTCGGCATCTTCTGTGGCCTTTCTCTGGGTATACTCAACTGTGGATACTTGTAGTTGACTACAGATGGACCTTGGTTACACACATGTAGTTGACTACAGATGGACCTTGGTTACACATGTAGTTCATGAATGTGATATCAAAAAAAGTATTCACGGAAATTGAAATAATGTTTTTTTTGCATTTATTTCATAGTTTTGAACATAATTTAAAGTTTGATTGACAAATATTCTATGACTATTGTTTTTCCCAATTTATGATTTTAACACTTTTTGTAATATCATCCGAAATAGATGAGTTTGCAGGAGATCAAATCCTGTCATTTTTACCCCTTGAAATTTCAAGAAAGTCAAAATGTACATTTCTTATGCAAGCTATAGTATGCGAATGAGATGTACTCTCCATAGGTTCGCAAACGTAATATATATGGTTTTTTTCACCTATAAAATGGTATTGGGATGATGATTAGAGGACCAAAGTAAATGGCCTAGTTGGGAAAAACATAGTTATTTAAATATTTTTTAAACTAGCTATTTTAATGAAGTAATAAACAAAAAAATGCCAAAAAAACATTTAATTTCTATTTCCTTGAGTACTCTAATGGGGATTTTTTACTTATTGTGTTTCTTGACAAGTTCATGACAAGTAATCTTTAGAGAGTGACCTCCCTTTGGTTGAGTCCATTGAAGTATGTACCACTAAATGTGTGATGGCTAATGTTGACAAAGTCTCCTATCACCCCAGTTAATGGTGTCATGAGGCATTAGGTCACTTTCTTTGGAAAGCAAACTAGGATTGCAAGTTGTATGGAGTTACCTCCTTCAGATGCCGCTAACTTTATGGCGCCTCAGTAGACTCTGTCATAAGTGTCTAGTTATTCACTGACATATGTTTAATGTTGGCCATTGTTCAGCCACGGAGTGGAAGCGGAGTATTCCTTATTTACGCTGACCTATGTTTTTGCTGAAAGATGTTTATGCTGTTCCAGGGGGCGTCATCTTTGCCCGTGTTATGCGAGATCAGAAGTATGTGACGATGCTGGATCCGTTTCAGGTGCAATACGGGCACCTGCAGGTGCTGCTTGTGTACCTCGCCACACTGTGTGGAGATCTCTTCTGGACGGCGTCCATACTGTCTGCCTTAGGTGAGTGGAGTACACTCAGGTGTATGTTGTACAAGCAGGTGCCCCTCCCTCCATCAGGTGTATGTTGTACAAGCAGGTGTCCATATCTCCATCAGGTGTATGTTGTACAAGCAGGTGCCCATGTCTCCATCAGGTGTATGTTGTACAAGCAGGTGTCCCTGTCTCCATCAGGTGTATGTTGTACAAGCAGGTGTCCCTATCTCCATCAGGTGTATGTTGTACAAGCAGGTGTCCATATCTCCATCAGGTGTATGTTGTACAAGCAGGTGTCCATATCTCCATCAGGTGTATGTTGTACAAGCAGGTGTCCCTATCTCCATCAGGTGTATGTTGTACAAGCAGGTGTCCCTATCTCCATCAGGTGTATGTTGTACAAGCAGGTGTCCCTATCTCCATCAGGTGTATGTTGTACAAGCAGGTGTCCATATCTCCATCAGGTGTATGTTGTACAAGCAGGTGCCCCTACCTCCATCAGGTGTATGTTGTACAAGCAGGTGTCCCTACCTCCATCAGGTGTATGTTGTACAAGCAGGTGTCCCTATCTCCATCAGGTGTATGTTGTACAAGCAGGTGCCCATGTCTCCATCAGGTGTATGTTGTACAAGCAGGTGCCCATGTCTCCATCAGGTGTATGTTGTACAAGCAGGTGCCCATATCTCCATCAGGTGTATGTTGTACAAGCAGGTGCCCATGTCTCCATCAGGTGTATGTTGTACAAGCAGGTGCCCCTACCTCCATCAGGTGTATGTTGTACAAGCAGGTGCCCCTACCTCCATCAGGTGTATGTTGTACAAGCAGGTGCCCCTACCTCCATCAGGTGTATGTTGTACAAGCAGGCGCCCCTACCTCCATCAGGTGTATGTTGTACAAGCAGGTGCCCATGTCTCCATCAGGTGTATGTTGTACAAGCAGGTGCCCCTACCTCCATCAGGTGTATGTTGTACAAGCAGGTGCCCATGTCACTGTATGTGTTGAGATTTCAGTGATCTGGCCAAGTTATGGCTACTCTATATACTTCAGGGACAAGTCATGGCTACTCTATATACTTCAGGGACAAGTCATGGCTACTCTATATACTTCAGGGACAAGTCATGGCTACTCTATATACTTCAGGGACAAGTCATGGCTACTCTATATACTTCAGGGACAAGTCATGGCTACTCTATATACTTCAGGGACAAGTCATGGCTACTCTATATATACTTCAGGGACAAGTCATGGCTACTCTATATACTTCAGGGACAAGTCATGGCTACTCTATATATACTTCAGGGACAAGTCATGGCTACTCTATATACTTCAGGGACAAGTCATGGCTACTCTATATACTTCAGGGACAAGTCATGGCTACTCTATATACTTCAGGGACAAGTCATGGCTACTCTATATACTTCAGGGACAAGTCATGGCTACTCTATATACTTCAGGGACAAGTCATGGCTACTCTATATATACTTCAGGGACAAGTCATGGCTACTATATATACTTCAGGGACAAGTCATGGCTACTCTATATACTTCAGGGACAAGTCATGGCTACTCTATATACTTCAGGGACAAGTCATGGCTACTCTATATACTTCAGGGACAAGTCATGGCTACTCTATATACTTCAGGGACAAGTCATGGCTACTCTATATACTTCAGGGACAAGTCATGGCTACTCTATATACTTCAGGGACAAGTCATGGCTACTCTATATACTTCAGGGACAAGTCATGGCTACTCTATATACTTCAGGGACAAGTCATGGCTACTCTATATATACTTCAGGGACAAGTCATGGCTACTCTATATACTTCAGGGACAAGTCATGGCTACTCTATATATACTTCAGGGACAAGTCTGAGTGTCATCATAGACTTGCCGCTGACAGCAACCATCTGGGTGTCATCAGCAGTCGCGGTCGGCTACACTATGTTTGGTCAGCTCATCGCCGTCGCCTACACAGACATAGCTCAACTAGCACTCATCACATTTGGCCTGGTGAGTAGTTGGTTTGACCTGATCAGTAGGGAGGTGAGGCCTGATCAGTAGGAGGTGTGACCTAATCAGTTGGAGGGTGTGACCTGATCAGTAGGGAGATGTGGCCTGATCAGTAGGGAGGTGTGGCCTGATCAACAGGAGGTGTGACCTGATCAGTAGGGAGGTGTGGCCTGATCAGTAGGGAGGTGTGGCCTGATCAGTAGGAAGGTGTGGCCTGATCAGTAGGGAGGTGTGGCCTGATCAGTAGGGAGGTGTGGCCTGATCAACAGGAGGTGAGGCCTGATCAACAGGAGGTGTGGCCTGATCAGTAGGAAGGTGTGGCCTGATCAGTAGGGAGGTGTGTCCTGATCAGTGGGGAGGTGTGGCCTGATCAGTAGGGAGGTGAGGCCTGATCAGTAGGGAGGTGTGGCCTGATCAGTAGGGAGGTGTGGCCTGATCAGTAGGGAGGGTGTGGCCTGTTTGGGAGGGTGTGGCCTGTTTGGTAGTAGGGTGTTGCCAGAGTATGTCCTTAAATATGTTTGGCCTGTTTGGAAGGTGTGGCATGTTTGGAAAGGTGTGGCCTGTTTGGGAGGGTGTGGCCTGTTTGGGAGGGTGTGGCGTGTTTTGTAGTAGGGTGTGGCCTGTTACAGAGTATGTCCTTAAATATGTTTGTCTTTTTAGGTGCTGTCTGTGCCATTTGTTTTGACCAATGAAAATGTTGGAGACATTACAGCCAATTCTAGCCAATGGATGGGCAGCTTAGACAAGACAAGCTGTCTCACATGGGTTGATTTGTTCCTTGCAATGGTAAGGTGTACATTGGTAATCCTAGAACTGCCATTTAATGCTTAATGGCAAGTGTATGTTTATTTCTATTTAACAAACTGTATTATTTTGAAAAAAATCTATCTGGCCAAAGTAATGAAGAAAACGTCTGTATGTATTTTGTGTGTTACTACGGTGATGGATGATTCATGTGAACTAACATCTAGGATGTAGGTCATTGATAAGTTTACATAGTACTGTTGACGAGTCGTCACGATTCTGTGTTTTAGACCTTCGGCACAATCCCATGGCAGGCCTATTTCCAGCGTGTCCTGGCTGTCCGCAGTGGGGCCCAGGCACGTGTATTGTCCATCGTTGGAGGCTGTGGTGCCCTGGTCCTTGTCATTCCCTCCATCCTGATCGGAGCCGCATCAGTCTCTGCAGGTATGTAAATCTATCATCAGTCTGTGCAGGTATTTAGATCTGTCCTGTATGACCCTGTCTGTGCAGGTATTTAGATCTGTCCTGTATGACCCTGTCTGTGCAGGTATTTAGATCTGTCCTGTATGACCCTCCTGTCTGTGCAGGTATTTAGATCTGTCCTGTATGACCCTGTCTGTGCAGGTATTTAGATCTGTCCTGTATGACCCTGTCTGTGCAGGTATTTAGATCTGTCCTGTATGACCCTGTCTGTGCAGGTATTTAGATCTGTCCTGTATGACCCTGTCTATGTGCTGTGCAGGTATTTAGATCTGTCCTGTATGACCCTGTCTCCTGCATGTCTGTGCAGGTTTTAGATCTGTCCTGTATGACCCTGTCTGTGCAGGTATTTAGATCTGTCCTGTATGACCCTGTCTGTGCAGGTATTTAGATCTGTCCTGTATGACCCTGTCTGTGCAGGTATTTAGATCTGTCCTGTATGACCCTGTCTGTCTGCAGGTATTTAGATCTGTCCTGTATGACCCTGTCTGTGCAGGTATTTAGATCTGTCCTGTATGACCCTGTCTGTGCAGGTATTTAGATCTGTCCTGTATGACCCTGTCTGTGCAGGTATTTAGATCTGTCCTGTATGACCCCTGTAGGTATTTAGATCTGTCCTGTATGACCCTGTCTGTGCAGGTATTTAGATCTGTCCTGTATGACCCTGTCCCTGTCTGTGCAGGTATTTAGATCTGTCCTGTATGACCCTGACCCTGTCTGTGCAGGTATTTAGATCTGTCCTGTATGACCCTGTCTGTGCAGGTATTTAGATCTGTCCTGTATGACCCTGTCTGTGCAGGTATTTAGATCTGTCCTGTATGACCCTGTCTGTGCAGGTATTTAGATCTGTCCTGTATGACCCTATCTGTGCAGGTATTTAGATCTGTCCTGTATGACCCTGTCTGTGCAGGTATTTAGATGTGTCCTGTATGACCCTGTCTGTGCAGGTATTTAGATCTGTCCTGTATGACCCTATCTGTGCAGGTATTTAGATCTGTCCTGTATGACCCTGTCTGTGCAGGTATTTAGATCTGTCCTGTATGACCCTGTCTGTGCAGGTATTTAGATCTGTCCTGTATGACCCTGTCTGTGCAGGTATTTAGATCTGTCCTGTATGACCCTGTCTGTGCAGGTATTTAGATCTGTCCTGTATGACCCTGTCCGTGCAGGTATTTAGATCTGTCCTGTATGACCCTGTCTGTCCGTCTGCGCAGGTATTTAGATCTGTCCTGTATGACCCTGTCTGTGCAGGTATTTAGATCTGTCCTGTATGACCCTGTCTGTGCAGGTATTTAGATGTGTCCTGTATGACCCTGTCTGTGCAGGTATTTAGATCTGTATTCTGTCCTGTATGACCCTGTCTGTGCAGGTATTTAGATCTGTCCTGTATGACCCTGTCTGTGCAGGTATTTAGATCTGTCCTGTATGACCCTGTCTGTGCAGGTATTTAGATCTGTCCTGTATGACCCTGTCTGTGCAGGTATTTAGATCTGTCCTGTATGACCCTGTCTGTGCAGGTATTTAGATCTGTCCTGTATGACCCTGTCTGTGCAGGTATTTAGATCTGTCCTGTATGACCCTGTCTGTGCAGGTATTTAGATCTGTCCTGTATGACCCTGTCTGTGCAGGTATTTAGATCTGTCCTGTATGACCCTGTCTGTGCAGGTATTTAGATCTGTCCTGTATGACCCTGTCTGTGCAGGTATTTAGATCCGTCCTGTATGACCCTGTCCGTGCAGGTATTTAGATGTGTCCTGTATGACCCTGTCTGTGCAGGTATTTAGATCCGTCCTGTATGACCCTGTCTGTGCAGGTATTTAGATCTGTCCTGTATGACCCTGTCCGTGCAGGTATTTAGATCTTTCCTGTATGACCCTGTCCGTGCAGGTATTTAGATCTGTCCTGTATGACCCTATCCGTGCAGGTATTTAGATGTGTCCTGTATGACCCTGTCTGTGCAGGTATTTAGATCTGTCCTGTATGACCCTGTCTGTGCAGGTATTTAGATCCGTCCTGTAAGACCCTGACCTTGTGCTGTTGTTCCATGCCGCAGTCTGTCGGTTGATGTTGTAGACTGGAATGCCACTTCCCTGGAAGCGTCACCGTTGGCAACAGGAGAGTCAAGGATGGTGCTGCCGCTGGTGCTGAAGGAGTTCACGCCGACGCCGGTGGCGCTGTTAGGTGAGTATTGTTTTGCTCTAGTCTCTAGTGAGGGAAACATCATGCTTGTGAACTTTAGATCTCATCTGTTGTCCGCCTCTTCATCTCCTGATGTGCTGGGTATATCCATGTTGTTATCGCCGCCACAAAGTGGGAGGGGGGTGTTGGTTTGAGCTCTGTCCACCCATCAGTCCCAGATAAGGGGGAAAGATTTTCTCAAAAAAGTTACAGATGGTGAGACCAAATTTGGTGTGTGTTTTCAGGACATACATGCCGTGATGGTGTTTGAAAACGGAAACTGTGTTCCAATTTGTTATGAGTTATGGCCTTTGTCAAGGGTTTATTGACTTAGAGCATAATATACCCAATGGGGACAGATTTTTCTCAGAAACCATTATAGATAGGGAAACCAAATTTGGTATGTGACATGAATACTTTGATGAAGATTAAAGACAGGAACCAAATAGGAACAGAACACTGTGGCGGGGATATTGATGGCCATGTCTTCTTCTTGTACATACTATTGCTGCTGCCGTTACTGGGTACAAGTAAGTAAGTTTTGGCTGATAGTTATATGTGGTAGACAAACATCCTGTTTCTGTAACAGGCCTTGGTGCGATATCGGCGGCAGTGATGTCGTCAATGGACAGCTCCATCCTGGGTTCCAGCAGCATGTTCACCCACAACATCTACAACAACATCTTGAGGCCGCAGGTAGGTGGCCACACAAACATACTGTGTCCTCATCACCTCAAGCTTTCCTCTCAAACTGCAGGAATAAACCGGAATGTTACTGTGAACGTATTCCAAGCTGTGTTACACTATAGCCCGCACACCTCTGACAAATAACCATGGTGTCAATTTCAGGCCAAGAACTGGGAGCTGTTGGTGGTCCAGCGTGTTGCCGTGGTTACAGTAGGCGTGTTGGCCACAGTTATCTCCCTTCACGTGCGGATCATCTATGGACTGTTTATCCTGGCAGCTGACATTGTGTTCGTGATTGTGTTACCACAGCTGTCATGTGCACTCTTCCTCCCTCGCACCAACGCCTACGGTGCCCTCATCGGCTACATGGTGGGGCTGTTCCTCCGTCTTGGTGCTGGCGACAAAGATCTTCATCTGACGCCATTTATTCCATACCCATATTACACACCAGCTCATGGACAGCTGTTTCCGTTCAGAACCTTTGCCATGATCTGTTCTGCTTTGACTATTTTCATTGTGTCGGAAGTGTTCCGGAGTTTGTTCTGTTTGGATATTATACCCAGGAAGCTGGATGTACTGAAAGCATTTAGCCTACGAACCTCCTTCGTGCCAACGCAGAGCTCCACAGAACAGAGTATCGCTCTGGTGGGCCAAAGTGCAGAACAGGTCTTACCATCTCAGATGGAGCAGAGTAACTGTGTTAGGAGGGCAGAAGTTGGTGACTTATAGCTTCCTGGTGTTAATGGTGACCTAAACCATGTGTGACTGGAATATATTCCTCTTTTATTCCATCTTTCAGTAGATATGCTTCTGTTTTACAATGTGACTGGGTCATATGCTTGGGTTATGCCATGTGTGACAGGGTTGTATGCTTGTGTTATACTGCCTGTGACAGGGTTTTATCATGCTTGTGTTATGCCAAGTGTGACTGTGTCATATGCTTGTGTTATGCCATGTTTGACTTGGTTGTATGCTTGTGTTATGCCATGTTTGACTTGGTTGTATGCTTGTGTTATGTCATGTGTTACTGTGTTGTATGATTGTGTTATGCCATGTGTGACTGTTGTATGCTTGTGTTATTCCATATGTGACTGGGTCATATTCTTGTGTTGTGCCATGTGTCACTGTGTTTTATGTTTGTGTTATGCCATGTGTGACTGTGTTGTATGCTTGTGTTATGCCATGTGTGACTGGGTTGTATGCTTGTGTTATACCATGTGTGACTGTGTTGTATGCTTGTGTTATGCCATGTGTGACTGGGTTGTATGCTTGTGTTATGCCATGTGTGACTGGGTTGTATGCTTGCCATGTGTGACTGGGTGTTATGTGTGACTGGGTTGTATGCTTGTGTTATGCCATGTGTGACTGCGTGATACGCTTGTGTTATGCCATGTGTGAGTGGGTTGTATGATTGTGTTGTACTATGTGTGAGTGGGTTGCATGATTGTTATATCGTATCTATTTGTTGTATATTTCTGTTATATTTTAAGACATCAGCTATATGCTTGATATTCTGTGTATGTTATGTACATGTTTACGCCATGACCTACCATATCTCTGTTTCATGCTGTTTGTTTTACTGTGGGTTTTTTAGTGGCATTTGAGAAGTTGGGAAGTACAATATAGAACAAACTCTATGGATAACAACTACTTTTATTCATGAGTGTGACGTTTCGATAAAGATTCTTGTACCGTTGTCAAGCAGGGTGTCATCTGTATCGAAACGTCGCACTCACCAATAAAAGAAGTTGTTATCCATATGGTTTGATCTATTATGTTATAGAGTTTGATCTATTATGTTATAGAGTTTGATCTATTATGTTATAGAGTTTGATCTATTATGTTATATTGTGTGTATGTTATGTTCAGTGCGAGGAAGCAAACACGGAACATGTAGTGTACTTATCAGCTAAACACTGCTCCAGTCTGTCCTGTGATTGTATACGCTCTGATGGAACCAGTCACAATTACTGTTCACAGACATTTATTGTGCAAGCTGTAAATTGTTTTTACAGTATCTCTCAAAATTGCAAATCTTTTTGAATTATTTTTTGATTATCTCAAAATATTTGGAATAAAGCAAGGAAGCTGATTTTCAATATAGAAGTGAGAAGTGTGCAAGAGGACATGGCCATCACAAGGCCACGTGTGGAGTTTAAGTTGGCAATGTCACAATGTTTTAAGGTGTGTAACGCTGAAGACCCGGGTTCGAATCCCCACATGGGTACAATGAGGGAAGCCCATTTCTGGTGTCCCCCGCCGTGATATTGCTGGAATATTGCTAAAAGCGGCGTAAAACCGAACTCAGTCAGTCAGTCAGTGTAAGGTGTGTCGTGACATGGTGTGGAGACAGGTGCTCCCTTGCCACTGATACTGTGCCAGCATGTTACTGTGCCAGCATGTACCGGCACCGAAGTATTGGTATGGCATGGGATACACATAAAGGATGATAACTTCTGGGTGTCAACTTCTGTAAAATGAGGGTTTTGTTTGGCTGTTGTTTAACGCCAAACACAGCAATATTCCAGCTAGTGGCGGTCTGTAAATAATTGAGTCTGGACAATCCAGTGATCAACAGCATGAGCATCGATCTACACAAATAGGGAATGATGACATGTGCCAACCAAGTCAGCGTGACCACCCGATCCCGTTAGTCGCCTCTTACGACAAGCATGGGTTACGGAAGACCAATTCTGACCCGGATCTTCACTCCAAAACATTCTGTCCCTCATATGACAGAAGTTGACATCCCTAAATCTTCATGGTTTATGTCTCATACGCACTGTAAAATAGTCAAAATAGTAGTAGTAGCTGTTTTGTGTAAGATTGTGCCATATTTTTCTGTTATTTATTATTACGTTGACTTAATGTATAAAATGTTGCATAAATGATGTTAAGTGATAAAACATGTTGGGGAGTGGGAATCTCATGAGAGGTCATGTAGATGTTGGAGAGTGGGAATCTCATGAGAGGTCATGTAGATGTTGGAGAGTGGGAATCTCATGAGAGGTCATGTAGATGTTGGAGAGTGGGAATCTCATGAGAGGTCATCTTACATGTTGGAGAGTGGGAATCTCATGAGAGGTCATCTTACATGTTGGAGAGTGGGAATCTCATGAGAGGTCATGTAGATGTTGGAGAGTGGGAATCTCATGAGAGGTCATGTAGATGTTGGAGAGTGGGAATCTCATGAGAGGTCATCTTACATGTAGAAATCTCATGAGAGGTCCTACATGTTGCGATGGGAATCTCATGAGAGGTCATGTGTGTTGGAGAGTGAATCTTATGAGAGGCCAGGTACATCAGTATGCAAGATCATGTAGAAAAGGCCCTCCTTCATTGGGATTGGAGCATCTTGTGTGAATCTTACTCAGACGCATATATTGTTTTGTTTTCTTTGTTTTAGTAATTTGTTCTCAGGACTTGGTTTTGTTTTCCATAACCAAGTAATTTGTTCTCCTGTACTTGGCAAGTTTCCATAACCAAGTCCTGTTTTTCCCCTTCAGTCACCAGGGAAAGAGACCTTGATGTATATTTAATTTTATGGAAGGAGACCCAAATGTTACTGAGTTTCAGAAAGCAGGATTATATCTAGAAGGAGGTTTAAGTACTTAGTTGTCTTTGTGGGTGAACGTACTGGTGGTGCTCACTGCTTAACTCTGTAACGTGACTTGCATTGTCAATCATATCATTATTTATGAAACATAAAAGTATATTTCCTATCTTCATTGTCTGGCGTTATGCTCTATGGTGTATGCATGGGGACTTGTAGTGCACATGGTTTTCAAGTGATTGTCAAGTTACAAATTAGGTCCAATGTATCTTGGTCAGATTATGTATATGACAACCAGCCATTGCCTCAACATCAACAATAATGATAGTTGGGGGATTGTGTGTTGAAATCCCACAATATATGCCTCTAGGTGTATCAGCGACCAGGTAGACGTGAAACACCTACATTACTCTCCTCCAGCATGTCGGCATGCTGGTCGGCATGCTGGATGGTTACAGAAATACGTATCTGGACGGCAGAAACTGTTGATTAAAGCTATGAAGAAACAGACATGATTCCTACATTTACATGGAACGTGTGTATTTAACAACAGAAAGGTTTGATTAATGAGTGGAACCACACAATATTATCATACATTCCTGTGAGTGTCTTGAAGACCCTTGGAGGTGGAAGAGGGGAACACTGAGCTGGCGGATCCTGGATGTTGGAGAAGGTGGCAGTGCACATAAATCCTGAAGACCAAAGGAAATGCTTCCTCCTTCCCCTTCAGCAATTTTGTAGACAGAAATATTAAAACAATTATGCATTAAAATTATGGGAAGGGATTATGTATGCGGGACGGGGGTGGGTGGGTATCATTTACTTTGTACATAAATTTTATGGGGTCATTCACATTGTACATGCTTCTCCATAAAAATCATCATTTCTTTCCACACACACGCACACACACACACACACACCACCACCCATATGATGATCAGACTGTCCTACACTTACCATGTTTTAGAGTATGTTGTACGGTCCTGGTTGTGTTAGATAAGTGTTATAAGTATTTTGAGCGCCAGCTGTGAGTGTGGGTTCGAATCTCGGTCCGCCAGGATTGTGTTTCTCGGTCTGTCTGCTCCATACCCGAGTGGTAAACATGGCTATTGGTTGTTCTCCCACCTCTAGCTAACACGTACATGCCAAGACCGGAATACAGTTCATTGAAGTCAGTTCTTGTGAGCGGGCATCGCCCTCAGTTGAAGGCTGACACTTGTCGACAAGAGGTCTGACGTTCACAGTCCAACATCTCAAAACCTGTTCAATTGTCAGCTGTTTAAATTCAAATGTAAATTCACAGCAAACTGAAGTCCGCCAGCAGCGACATTAAGATATATTTCTTGGCAAAATATACACTTAAAATATGTAAAGGCGAGAAGAGAAGTCTTGCGTGGCATAGTAAATTACAAAACACACCCTTAATGCCGATCACTTAACATAACACAGAAAGGGCTTGAAGAATGGCAAGTACAACGGCTTATTCCGATCCTCTCCATGATCCCCGCTGTGCTTGAACTAGTTAATTATACGAAGTAAATACCTAGTTGAAATCTTAGTTTTCTAATAAAGCCGAAAATATCACCCTCTAGTGGATTCATGTAGAGGGAGAACAAATTGACAGCCAAACAAACTGGTCATTTTACAAGTTGATGCATTTTCAGAAATACCTAATCTCACAGAACATGTACACAGTTGAAAAGTAATCGTTTCCCAATCCCACTCCGTCTGAAAGCCAAGTAAAGTTTTAACAGAACCCGCTGGAATGGGAGATAACTCTTAGCCTGCACCCTGTGACAGCATTTGCAGCCGACAGTCACAATGTCGAAGAGTCGAGGGCCTCTCGTGGGTGCTATCGACCAGGGCACGAGCAGCACAAGATTCCTCGTGAGTGTTACCCATCTTGCTTCCATCATCTCGCTATACCCACTCGAGACAACTAACTATGGCTAAATGAGAGTGCGCACATGTTTCGTGAACTTGGAAAAGAAATGTTAGCACTACCACAAGGAAATGTTTTTCGTTTTAACCTTGCGTGCGTGCTTTTAGAAAAGTCATGTTAGTTAGTCACTAAATTATATTGACGACATTAAAATGATTGAATTTCTATTGATTGAAGTTACGAAGTCATCATTTTGAGTGCGTAGATCAGTTCGGGCGGGGTTGGCTGGGTCGGGGTTGAGCGTTGTGTTATCGAGATGTACCTTGAACCATGTCGTTATGAAGTGACAGGATAGTGAGTGTCGATCCTAGCAAGTATAACACGTCTAATACATTTAGCAAACAAACAGGGGTAGTCTGTCAGCTTGATGAATACTAATATGTTTTGACAGGCAGAGATATTACCCCAGCTTGGTTCGTGTTTCGGTTTATCAGCAGTAGAACATTGTCGGACAGGAACCGTGACGTTGTGACCCGCCCTTCAAACTTACCATTCAACGGTGTCGGTGTCTCTGCTCACAGCATCAGATCACTCTAAAGACATGGTGTTGAATATGTATTGGTGTTGGCCCCAAACATCAGTTGTTGCACTATGGATATTGTGTAGTACATGACTCAAACAGCAGGAGATATGGTTACTAAGAAGATGGGCTGTGCACAAACAGGAAGAATTGTGTCAAATTCTGTCTGAATACTTGATTGTATTATTGGAAAGCTGTGGACAAGTTTGATGGCTAAGATGTCACTTCTTGACAGTGTAACACTGAGTGTTAGAACATGGGAGATGTAGTATACACATACTACCACTAAAGATGTCTTCAGGTTATCTAGCTGTGGTAGTATTTGAATGTAGGGAACTTATCCGCATTTATTTATCTATTTATTATAATCTATTTATATAGCACCGAGTTCCAGCTAGGCTGCTCACAGACGCTTTGTTTTTCCCTTGATCATAGGATGTCAATCTCAACAGTACTTCGTAATATCAATCTCAACTCCCTGGGGATCATACAACTCTTGCAGCCCCTAGGCGCATCAAGTTAATGTGTCTTTCCCAACCTTACAAGGTACCCATTCACAGCTGTGTGGACTGGGACACATAGTCTCACAGCACTTTCTCCAAGTTTACTGCACGTTGCTGTACCTGCAACTAGGTGCAGGGATCCAGATAATTTTTCAACATCAGGAGTACATACTCCATATTTTTTCAATAGGGGAGTACTGGAAAACCTTACGAGTACATTTAGAGTACAGATTGGAATTTAGTGGAGTATCAGTAAGCTTGTGTTTCGTTTCATATATGCACCATATATGTTTTAGCCGTACATACGCCGATATGGCCCTTATCTGGAGCCCTGTAGGTGTCTGCGCGTATTCATGTGGCCACCATCTGGTCATATACCAATGGATTCGTGGGTCCTTTTAAGTGCTCAGGGTTGTGTACTGTACACTAGAGGTTGTGACAACACTGAAAGAGTCTGCACACAAAGTTGACTCCAAGGTTTTTTACAAGAAGAAGAAGAAATATAGTTTATTAACATGTCACATGCTGCAATTCATTAAAAAAGGATTTAAAAACAGCATCCGGCTGTATGGCCTATGAGACACAGATATCACAGTTGTATAGATACATTGGTAATAAAATCACACCCACACATAGTCACACGCAAGTCCAAACATGTGCACAAACACATGCACACATGCACGCACACACACACACACACACACACATTCACCTTCTTACTCTAAAAAGCATAAATTATGTAAATAGCAAACACCAGGTGGGCTCAATCCGTCACCTCAAGCTCGCTGGATTTCTAGCCTGGCACCTTAGCAAGCTCGCCCACCACACCCACGGCCATCACACATATATACTATACACTGACAGTCAAAATTCATTTTGCAGAAAAATTAAGTTTATAAGTATTCAGAATCATTTTGAAAGATGAACTAAGCTGATGACCTAAGAAAGATGCCTAAGCTGCTAAAGATAATGATGCCAAGTAACCCATACAGGCTATGGGACTCCAATACCTTCCGACTGAGTTCTCGCTGACATGGTGCATGTCATGGCTGGCTGATTTGTTCAGTCATCCTGGGCTGTAGTGTACTCAGGATTGGTTAAGGATAATCAAATAATTTCATTTAAGAATAAGATACCTTGAGAATCGGTGTGGCGTGTCACTGAAACTAGTGAAAGATAGTAATGTGCCTATTAAATGTGGAGCTGTATGTAAAGTGGAACAATGGATCTGTTGTTCTACACAGCAAACAGACAGCGTTGCTGTAGTGTTGAACATGTTACATTTAGAGGACACGTTTAATAACTAAATTACATATGTCCATGACTACAAGTACCCCTGGCCTTCACGTCTCACCCAGGACACATTGGCTGTGACAGACTTGTCTCACCATTGTCAAGTTACAGTGAGAGCACAAGTCCCAAACCTTCAGACTTGCATGGGGTTACCTAGCCTTGCTCCAACTCCAAGGCTGTACTGAATGCTAAGCCCATGGATGTATAGTAAACTATTAATTATTAGCTCAGAGACTTGTGCAAGTCTATGGTTACTGTTGCCTGGGCTGTGTGAATGTCAGACTTGTTGATTGTGTAGTTTGTGGCGTGTCATGTTCTGTATTATTTCTGTCTTGACTCATGAAAGTGACAGGTTCTTCCCTTGTTGTGATTTATGAGAGCAAAAAAACCCATGGCGACTCAGCTAATTCACATGTGCTTTGAGTGTGGTAAGCCAAAGTCCATTCTGGTCCTGGGCCCACTTGAGCTTTAAACTTGGGGCTGTTCAGAAATGGGTTAGGCTGTTCAGAAATATGATGGCCTGTTGGTATTCATGTTGTTTATATGCTAACCATAAGAACTGAAACCTTCATGATGAATGAGCAGGAGAAGACTTCTCTGGGCTGATGAGCATGCCCTGGCCTACCATTCATAGACCCGTGATGAGCATGCCCTGGCCTACCATTCATAGACCCGTGAAGATCCAGGTTAGAATTGGTCTTCAGCAACCCTCTTGTCGTAAAAGGTGACTAATGGGATTAGGGGTCAGGCTTGCTGACCTGGTTGACTGATGTCGTCATATCCCAATTGCATAGATCGATGCTCATGTTATTCATCACTGGCATTTAACAACCTACAAACCAACAAACCTACCATTTGCATTTGGGATGCTCTGCATATGTTGGTTGTAAGATGGGATGCTCTGCATATGTTGGTTGTAAGATGGGATGCAATGCATATGTTGGTTGTAAGATGGGATGCTCTGCATATGTTGGTTGTAAGATGGGATGCTCTGCATATGTTGGTTGTAAGATGGGATGCACTACATGTGTTGGTTGTAAGATGGGATGCACTACATATGTTGGTTGTAAGATGGGATGCACTACATATGTTGGTTGTAAGATGGGATGCTCTGCATATGTTGGTTGTAACCAGGGATGCACAGGATATGTTGGTAATAAGAGCTGCACACATGGCTTTTAGTTCTCTTGTTCTCCCCTTTCCATGGGACATGTATATTGAATTACTGCTGTGGGAACAGGTGGTTTTGTCTCTATCTGACACATCATAGAGCTGGGAGATATATCATTCTTGTAGAGCATTAATCACCAACAAATATTGACTACAGGACAACACATACACATACATGACAGAAGCCTCCTCTGATGACAAGTCACGAGACATGAGACAATGTAGTTACATGTTTCACAAGTATCCTTGTTATCTATATATTTATTTCGACTGTATTTTCCATCCTGCCATCAGATAGGGGATAGCACTTTACTTTGTCTGGTTTGGGAAAAGTGTGGTTGTTGACCCTTGTCTGACTCCACTCAGCACTGTGAGGGCACAGTGAGGTCACCAGTGTGGGGTGGCAGGGTCAGGACACTGTACATTAATCAGAGAGTGGAACCTGACACCCCTGACTGAGGGAGAGCAGCCTTCACCAAGGCTGTTTGTCATTATATAGACTAACGTTTAGTCCCTGAATACATATAATTGTGATAGTAGCAAATAAACCCATTTAAATTGAAAAGGAGCCCCAGTGAGACCAGAGATTCCTGAACCTGAGGACATTTAGACTTGCTTTATTTAGGGCTTTAGCATTGCAAGGAGGGCCAAGCATTGGGGAAAATAATGTGGTTCAGGGACTGTGAGACAGACTAGTCATTATACACCATCACTGTCTGTCTCTATAGTTCAGGCCTACCATACAAATGGTGAACAAATCATCAAAACTGAACTCATATACACCAAAACAGAACAATAATCACCAAAACTGCAACAATATCCTCTAAAACCGAAACAATACATCTGCAATGGAAGACTAATTGTTTGGAATGGAAACAAAACTCTCGATCAGCTACAAGATACGGTCGCCGAGCGTACAAAACGGCCTTCATAGCATCCCAACACAGCAGTCATAGCATCCCGAAACGGCATACAAATCGTCAAAGATGGCGGCGAGGGGAGACGAATAGGCTTTGGTACATAATGTATTTCATCACTATGAGTCTAATCTTGAAAATTTGATATCGGGATGTAGTGCATAAACCCCCTATTGTAGTAAGCTTCAAACCTATGTCCATACTTCTCAGTGTCAGGCTTGCAATTCTGCACAATGTGGTCCCTCGTTCAACCGAATAAGATTTCTTGTCAACATGCCAAGCTACAGTTTCTCTTCAGTTTTGTAAATAAAGTATTCATAGCATCACATTCAACATTACTATATTTTAGTGATTTAAAAAGTTTACAAAAACTTTGTTCATTCTCCGTGAATTGCATATCTAAGTGATTATTGGGAGGTATAGGCTCATGTCATCCCCATTATTGGGAGGTATAGGCTCATGTCATCCCCATTATTGGGAGGTATAGGCTCATGTCATCCCCATTATTGGGAGGTATAGGCTCATGTCATCCCCATTATTGG